GGCCCCGACCCGCAGCCCTGCGGCGGCCCCCCGCGGGCGGCGCGGCCCCTCTTCCTGGCGAGCGCGGCGGCCGAGCGGGCCATGGATTAAGGAGGCGGCGGCGTGGGAGGAGGAAGATGGCGGCCGGCAAGAGCGGCGGCGGCGCCGGGGAGATTACTTTTCTGGAAGGTACATGTCTCTCAGCCCTTGCGAGGGGGTGGGGAGGCACCGGAGAATGTGGCCGGCCGACCCCCGGATACTCGGGCTTTCGCGCTGGGTGGGTTTGGGGGGCGGGGGATGGGGGGGAGGGAGTGCGACGAGCGCGCCGGGTTCGAGTCCGCCGGCGAGGGCCTGCGGGCGCGGGGCCGAGGGCGCCGGGGTCGGGCTGCGGGCCGGCGTCGGGGCGGCCTTGGGGAGTGCGCGCGCGCGCCTGTGACCTTTTTTATCTTTGTTGATGGCCTGGGGATGAGAGCCGATTGCATTCAGGTCTTCTTTGGTGTTCGTGGAAAGTTAAGGTTGGGTGAAATTGGGGGCCAGTCTAAGCAGGGAGGGGAGGAGTGGTTTTACTGAGTGTGTTTTATACTCCTCTGCTCTTGCTGTTTCGCGGAGCTTCAGACTTTCTTTTGCAGCCAGTATTCAGATTAGTCCTGGCCTTGTCCGATATTCTTACCAAATGTGTTTTGCTAAAGTATTTTAAAAAATAATTTATCCGAAAACAGAACGGTATTCACAACGGCAGTTTAGGGACAGTCACCACAGCTAGTAGACAAAGTTTGGGTGGTTCCATTTTTAATCACTCGTGAGGGAAAGTTAAACATTTGCTGTAGGTGGCTTAAGCAAGTCTTAGGAAAAAGCTATATGTTATTGTTGGGGATGGTGGTAATGGGTAACAACCTGGGCTCTTTGCCCATATACATAAGGATCGCCCTCCACACCTCGCCCCCAGCTAAATTCATTGTAGTGTGGACCAGGAACTTTAATGTTAGCATTGCTTAATCTGACTATGGGTTCAGTGATTATAGTGGTAATTGAGTTTACAAATACGATGTTTAGGAAAATGAGTCTATGTAATGTGCTATGATTGTTAAAAAGGATTAACTACTTTTTGGATAATTTTGCAAAGAAGATGATTTTCATATGCAGTATAAACAATACCTTTTAAAAATAACCAATTTGAAACATTTCTGAATTAAGAAAGTACAATTTAACTATGGTAACGTGTTCTGTGGAGGTTGTTGAGGGAATGGTATATTCCCTCATCTTGTTTACGGTTTTATTAACAGCGCCTAGAAGACAGTAGTACTCACTATTAGACTAATGAACGAATAAGGACTAACAGAGGGGAGTGGGAAAAGAAATCTTCATTTTCTTAATTAAGCTTTTAAATTTAGTTTCTTAAGTTTTTCTGGGTTCATTTCATATTACTTCCATTCCAGTTTGTGCAGAATAGGTACCTGTCAGAGGCTGAGTGGTGCAGCTTGTGTTACAGGTGGTGCTATGTGGGTTATTTTTTATTTTGATATTGGAACCTCAAAAGATGGCTTACTGATGCTTATTATATTCAATATGCATATGATTATATTTTTGTGCTGTGGTTTTAGGCTTCTATAGGCTTCTGATTCAGTTCAAGTTCTGACTAGATGAACATAGGAAGGATAGAAAGAGCATAAATAAAGCCAATAGATACAGGATTGATGTGAATTTCAAAACGGTTGCTTTTAGTTTATTCTGACTTAAGGGTCTATGAATATACTTCAGGTGTGATAAATTTGAATTTCACCATATCTCTTTCAGCCTTCTCATAAAGAATGCAAATGAGAACTTGTTTAGAATATGAGCATAAGGGAAAGCAAGGCTTTCAGTTTCTCATATCTGATTTTCATATACTGTTGTACTGAATCTTTCTAAATAAATGGAATCATTTAGTACTACTTGTATTTTTTGTGTTTAATTCTTTTGGTTCTTTACACTTTTAAGAATAAAAGAGGGCTGGCCCCCGTGGCTTAGCGGTTAAGTGCGCATGCTCCGCTGCTGGCGGCCTGGGTTCGGAACCCCTGGCGCGCACCCACGCACCGCTTCTCTGGCCATCCCACATACAGCAACTAGAGGGATGTGCAGCTATGACATACAACTATCTGCTGGGGCTTTGGGGGAAAAATAAATAAATAAATAAAATTATAAGAATAAAATACTCCACTATAACTTGTCATACATTTAGTATTACCATGTTTATATGTTTTCAAAATGTTTCCCTGTAGGCCCTTAGGATTTACTATTTGAACATCTATATAGTGTACTTTCCTTCCTCTTCAGTAGAAAAACTGAAGTAGGTTTTCATTTACTCATCAGGTATTTGTAGCAACCTACTCTGTGCTAGGCACTGTACCAACGTGAGTATAGCAGTACATATGATAAAGTCCTTGGCTTCATAGAACTTATAGTTTAGTGGGAGGGACTTATGATAAATAAGTAAAAATTAATCCATTTGAAACAGTTGTACCCCATGTTTTCACACAGTTCCTTTCTTCACTTTATTCAGGTCTGCTCAGACCTGACAACCTATTTAAAATGTCATACTGCCACACACATGTACAAACACACGATATTCCCTTTTACTGTTTTATTTTTCATAATAGCCCTTATCACATGATAAATTTATGTTTTCATGTTTTTCAGTCCTCAGTTTTCCAGCTTAAAATATAGGGTCCATGAAAGCAATGGCTTAGTCTTTTCATCATCATATTCTTGCACCTGAGACATATTTGTTCTTAATGAAATAAACAAGATGGTAAAAGTAGGATAAAGGTGGAAGGAATATACAGAGCAGTGAAAGAATAGGAAAGCCATTTTATATAGTGTTAAAGTCAGGAAAGGCCTTCCTGAGGAGGTGACACCTGAGTTAGGGTAACACCTTATCTATGGGACACATCAGAGTGTGGCAGAAAGGATGAGGCCTGTAAAGTTTCAGAGATGATACGTAGTTCCATTTGTTAAACAAAAAGGGGGTCATTATGCCTGAAATGTAACGAGCAAGGGAGAGAGTGATATAAGAGAGAGGCAGCAGATCTATCATGCAAGATCGTGAATTTTTATTTCATTCTGAGAAGTGGGAAGTCATGAAGAGTTTGAGGCAAAGGAGTGTCCTGATATGATTTATCTTTTTAAAAAATCACTAACTTCTGTGTGTGGAATGAATTAGAGAAGAGCAAGAGTAAAAGCAGGAACATGAGTTAGGAGAAATTTATCATGTGATGAGGGCCATTATGAAAAATAAAACAGTAAAAGGGAATACTGTGTGTACATTTTACTTTTTATTTATTTATTTTTTTGTGAGGAAGATCAGCCCTGAGCTAACATCCATGCCAGTCTTCCTCTTTTTTTTTTTTCCTGAGGAAGACGGGCCCTGGGCTAACATCTGTGCCGTTCTTCCTCCACTTTACGTGGGACGCCACCACAGCATGGCCTGACAAGCGGTGCGTCGGTGCGTGCCCGGGATCCGAACCCGCACTTAACCGCTACGCCACGGGGTCGGCCCCTGTGTGTTTGTACATTTTAAATAGGTTGTCAGGTCTGAGCAGACCTGACTATGGTAGTAGTCTAAAATAGAGGGTCTTGGATTAGAATGGTGGCAGTGGAGATTGGGGACGAGGGGTGGATAGGTTGAAGATATGTTTGGATGTAGAGTTTACAGGACTTCTTGATGGATTGTATATTGAGGCTCCGAGTAAGGGAGGAATTGAGGATGACATCTAGAGTTTTGGTTTGAGGTGTTGGGAGGGGGAATTCCATTTACTGACATGGAGTAAACTGGTGGAGGAACGAGAAGTAAGTTAATAGCTCTGCTTTCCTCAAATTAAGTTTGAGATGTCTGTTTGTCATCCGTGTTGTAAATTATGTTTTACATCCTTATAACTACTAAGTAAAATGCTAATTCCGTTTCCTTTTCTGGCTTCCTTAGGGAAAAGGAGATTTACTGGCTACTATTAAACTTTCTTTACTTCGTTCGTATATTATCACACTAAAATAGCTTGAATTTAATTAGGCCACAGCTTATATTGAATTGTTTTCTTTCTCCTCTTTGACTTGTTTCTTTCTTTTCTTTTCTTTTCTTTTTGTGAGGAAGATCAGCCCTGAGCTAACATCCATGCTAATCCTCCTCTTTTTGCTGAGGAAGACCGGCTCTGAGCTATTGCCAGTCCTCCTCCTTTTTTTCCCCCAAAGCCCTAGTAGATAGTTGTATGTCATAGCTGCACATCCTTCTAGTTGCTGTATGTGGGACGCGGCCTCAGCATGGCCGGAGAAGTGGTGTGTCGGCCCGGGATCGGAACCCGGGCCGCCAGTAGCGGAGCACGTGCACTTAACTGCTAAGCCACGGGGCTGGCCCCGTTTCTTTCTTTTCTGTTCACTTAAGGTTGTCTTATACCCCTTTTCTACTTGTGATGGATAGTTTGGCAGGTTTCTCTTTGTTCGTTCATACATTCAACGGATATGTATCAAGCAACTGCAATGTTGGCACTGTGCTGAGAGGCACAGTGAGGAGGGGGAGTAAATGGTTTCTCTGTGGAGTTTCCAGTTCAGTGAGGAGAGTCAGTAATCAAATAATCACACTTGTAATATAGAAGTACAACTGTCAAGTGTAATAAAAGGGGATTATTCATAATAATGAGAATTTGATCTAACCAGCTCAGTTTGAAAGGTGAATAGGAAAAGGAAAGGTGGGGAGACAGAGCTTTCCAGGCAGAGGGAATAAAATAGAGGGAGCATGGTGTGTTCAGGGAACTAAAAGGAAGACAGTGTGGTGCTAGCGAGGAGAGTGGTACAAGATGACACTGGAGGTAACATCATCAGATTTGTTTCCAGAAAGGTCATTGGCCAGCAAACGGAGAAAGCTTTAGAGAGGGGCAGAAGATCGTCAGTGAGATCAGTTAGGTGTCTTTTGCAGTGCAGGGCAAAGATGGTGGTAACTAGCTTTTTATTGTAACCTTTCTTTTGATAGTCTCCCCTTTCTGTTCTCCTCCGTGGAACCTCTGAGAAGTCTATTTCCTCTCTCCTTTTTCTTTGTTATACTGCACTTGCTCATATCTAGTCTTTTTATCTAGCCTTTGCCTTTTTTCTTCTACCAAATAATTGCCTCACCAATATTTTCTCCCATTTTTTTCTGCCTTCCCTTTCATATATATATATATATA